CAACGTCTTTGCAGTATTGATGGAAACAAGGGGTCCATGAGATCTTATGAAATAAAAGAGTGTGCTCTCTGTATGTAATGAAGTATTATGCAGCCACAAAAAGAATAAAATTTGATATATGTAACATCATGAATAAACATTGAAAGAAGCATACTTTTCCCTAACCTTACTCTCCTAGGGCTAGGGAAATCATGAATAGAGTTTTAGTATCATTATTATTACTATTGTTATTATTATTATTAGTAGTAGTATTATATACTCTGTAGGTGAGGTAGTTGCATGCCACAGAGCAGCTTTGCAAGGCACATGACAATTGTGTGGAGTTTGTTCTCCATACACCTTCCGTGGATTCCAGGGATCTAGCTCAAGCCCACCAGGCTTGTGGGAGAATGCCTATACCCACTGAGCCATTTGCTAGCTCTGACCTTTTTTATTTTTAACTTTGGACATAAAATTTTGAAATTCATTTTATGTCTTCATACCTTTGCCTAAGTTCTTTTTACTAAGAGCCTTTTTATGGACATAGAGATAATTTATAACTTACTGTAGTTTATTTTTTAATCATTCCCCAAAATTTCATTTTCACATATATTGGCTGAGCTTACAAATCCAAAAAGGTTTATTGACTTTATAATGTAGATTTAAAAACTACCTTATAAGTCAATCATATGTGTTTTTCACTTTAGAGATATCATTCAGCCTAGACACTATAGTCATTTCTTAGAAGATGGTTTGGGGCATCTGTAGTTGGTCAGGCACTGTTCTGAGTAACACAAGTGTGATAATAAACATGACAAGTATGCTTTTTATAACTTTTTAGCCTATTTCTGCCCTTAAATAGTCTCCATAGCACTTCCCTCCTTTCGGTCTTCATGCTGTGTGCTTTGCTTGTTTTGTGTATAGTACCTGTGATGAACCCTCTGAACATGACGAGGCAATGAGAGATGCGGCCATCACGGGGTCTTCAGCCTCCAGTGTAGTGTTTGAGTGGTAAGGACTCAGTGAATGTTTATCAAATGAGAGAACAAATCGGAAACTAGAACCCAGAAAAATTCAAGTTAATTTTTTTTTAACAATGAAATAGTCAACTGTTTCAAACACCAATGACCGGACAAAGAGTGGTGACGTGAAGAGTAGGTTTGTCCAAATACAGCTGCGATGGATGATTTGAGTGGAGTTGGAGGAAAAGTAGTAATTGAGTAGATCTGGGAGAGATGTTGAGGTTTAAGGTTGGGTGTAAAGGAGCTGGAGAATATACAGAATTCCTTCAAGGATGCTGAATTAGGAAGGTGCTTTTTATCTAACCTAGTGCTATAACCACAACTGTTCAAATTAAAAGTGATCCTTTGATGCTACATAAATGCATGCTTATTATTGCTTCAGTTATCCTTCACATAAAGTTATTTAAATTTGGAACCAAATTTTATTTTGTATTTGATCATAATATCTTTAAATCAAGTCTTCTTTTATATAGAAACTAATATTTCATTTGCTAATGAAACTGAATGAATTGTCCATAAATACACTTTACATCCCTGATGGAATTTTTCTTTTTGGTATAATCAGTTTCTCAGTTTTCAGGGCTCTCTGTAACTGTAATGTAAGACTGTTTTGTTACATTTATTTCCAACTGTTTGAGGGTATGCATTTCTCGAGGGAGCTGTGTTTTGTCCTGCGTCATAGCAGTGTATGGTTCTAGATTTCTCATCATGCTAATATTGACACCTGAAACCAAGTGGAGATGCTGATGTTTCCATGTACATTTTCCCATTAACCTTTCGTTCAATTTTTCCCAATTTGTCATTTTTGCCTAAGTTACAGTTCATTAAATTTACAGAAATGTCTTGTTCCAATTATGTTAATATCTTTAACCACTGAAATGATCCAAAAGGAAAAGCACAGTATATCTAGAGGAAGTCCATCTCTAACAGGAGTGTGTGCTGGGTGAAAAGGAATGCTACCCAGTGTACATGGGATGGAATCCCTGAGAGCTATTCTCAGTATCTTGCCGAAAATTACAGAAGCACAGAGAATATGTTTTACTGCATTTCTGTGAAGAATTTGTTGTGAATCTGCATCAGAATTGTACCTTCTTTTAGAAATGCATTTTCTATTATTGTTATTGCCTTTGAAATAAAATCATTAAGCCATTTCCAACATCACTTTTGCTCTTTATCAAGGGGCCTTCTTGTTATCGATATATATTTTGTAATTTCTCTCTTCACAAATGTGACATGAAAATAGCAGGGAAAGCTGTTTGGAAAGGGAAGAGGAAGTGGGAAGTTGTAAGGAAGAACAGGAAAGGTGGTCAGTTCCGTGGCCATTGTGAAGTCAGTCACCATGCAGTGACTGCACTCCCGTCTCATGCAGTGTGGGTTGGAAGTGATGGTGTCCTACACACCTGTGTTCTGCATTATGGAGGATGGGTGTGCGTTTCCCTGTAGCTGATTCTTAGCTTTGTTGTACTCTGTTGCAGAGAATAGTAAATGCTGCCATTAAGCAAATAAAATGATAAATATCTAGCAGTTCAGCTTAGACACTAATGGAGTCTAAAAGCCTTTAAAATGACAAAACGCGGCAACTTTTATGATTTATAGGCTCATTTGTGTTACACAGTTTGGTCATATGCTTGACAGTATTCCCCCCCCCACACACACTTTTTTTAACTCTCTCCTAAAAAATTATGGTTTTGTGTTACCTGAGTGAAAAGCCATTAGAATTCAAGAGTGGGGTGTAACAGAGTCTCAGCTAAGTGTCCCAGTGTTGTGCACAGTTTCCTTTGGGCTCGCCCTGTTTGCATGGTCGTGGGGAAAGGGAGTAATTCAGTCAGTCCCCAGTGTCTGTACTGTGACAGTGGCCCTATGAACTGCCCTCAGAATGCCTCATACTTGCTGTTGTGTAACATTGTTTCCAGACAGTCCTACTTCTTTACGGATCAGGTTTCCATTTGTTTTCTGTGAGTCTACACAGTCTGAGGAACACTGGTTGCTGTGGTCAGACATGTAGTATGTTAAATCAAAGTTCTAAGGATAACATGGATTACACAGTGTTTAGTTACGTGGTGTCAGGCTTCTTTCTTTGGAAGCCATGATTTAAGCTAACCTGTTTTGGCATCCACAACGCTCTGTGGTGTCTGTGAAAGCAGTGATGTAATCTGATCTGTGTTCTGTGTGGTCTGAGAACCTGAAGAACATTTTGCATTAGCTGCATTGATCGGGAATCCTTTCTAGTCATTTACTCGACAATTAATACAGTCTTGTAAAGTGTCCCCTGGGTGTCCATATAAACTTGATCGTTTTCCCCAGGACCAAAAGATGCATCAAGATAGACAAGAGTAACTTAAGCTGATTAATAGAAACAGGAAAATGTAAAGCCACAGATCACATTATATTCCTTCCATCCTAAAAAATAAACTATGCTTGCTCTCTTGAAATTTCTCTGACATTGAAGAGACACATTTTCGCAAATTCAAATTTCCATTGATAAAGATGTGAAAATACAATTTAGATATACTTCTATAATTATAGTCTTATTTCAGTGTCCTGTGATCCATGTCTGTCTCTAAAGAATGACAAACATCTTTTGCATCACTCTTTAAATCGGCATTAACTCTTTGATTTTTTTTTTTTTTAGCTTTAGCAGTTTTACAGTTTTGCACGTACACAGTGGCATGAGTTTTGAAATATTGGCATCAGTGGGAACTGTAGTGCATAGATGAAAAGGCTCGGAAAGCAGATGCAGAGATCCATAGCCAAGCACTGGGCAGAGCTTCAGGAGTCCAGCTGAAGAGAGGGAGGAGGGATTATAGGAGCAAGGGGGGTCAAGATCATGACAGGGAAACCCACAGCGACAGCTGACCCAAGCTCAGGGGAGCTCACGGACTCCAAACTGACAACTAGCCTGCGTGGGAACAACCTAGGCCCTCTGCATGTGGGTGACAGCTTGGTCTGTTGGGCCTCTAGCGGTGGGACCAGGATCTGTCCCTGGCACATGAGCTGGCTTTTTGGAACCTATTCCCTATAGTGGGATGCCTGGCTCAGCCTTGATGCAGGGGGGAGGGGCCTTAAGCTTCCTGAGGAATGGATTAGGGGGAGAGGAGGGAGGAGGAGAGGAGGGAGAGGAAACTGTTGTTGGTATGTAAAATAAATCAATACATTTAAAAAAGAAAAAGAAAGCAAAAGCTCAGAAAGTACTTATTTCTGATTTGTAAGCCATCTGCTGGTTTGGATCACTGAAGAAATAGCTATGTAATTGGTTTGTAAGTCAAGCCTTCTGTAGTCAGCCTCAGAATAGTCTGATAAACCAATCATGTGTTGTCATTACCTTAAGGCATGTCCATAAAATTCCTGTACTCTATCATGGACCATCTAAATCCTGTTTATATATCCCTGATAATTTTGTATTTTATTTAAAATACATCATCAATAAAATTGATATCCATTCTTTTATTCAAAAAAAGTTTAATGATTTACTCATAAAAAATGAACTCCGGTGGTGGCGCACGCCTTTAATCCCAGCACTCGGGAGGCAGAGGCAGGCGGATCTCTGTAAGTTCGAGGCCAGCCTGGTCTACAGCGCGAGATCCAGGAAAGGCGCAAAGCTACACAGAGAAACCCTGTCTCGAAAAACCAAAAAAAAAAAAAAAAATGAACTCCTTAAAAGATATTTTCATTGATTCTTAACTGTTACCAGCTTCTAGCCCTAAGGCCTTTTATGAGTACTGCATGAGTATTTATCTCCATGAATGAATGATGTGTTCTGATCTCTGGATCATTGGTTCTTCTGGAACCCAAATGCTTGTTTTGAGAATACAAGAAAAGAATCAATTCTCAAAAAAATTTTAATGAAGAAGATGTGTTGATTACTTTGATTTCAATGGCATATTAGAACTTCAGAGCCGTATATATTACAGTATTTTATTAACATTGTCTTTCTTTTTCATAATGTTTCACTGTAAAATGAGAAGGAGTGTGTTCTGAAAACGAGTCTTCTGTCTGCAGGTACTACTGAGAGGGTGTGCTTGATCCAGGGGACAGTCGAAGCACTGAATGCAGTTCATGGATTCATTGCGGAAAAAATCCGAGAAATGCCCCAAAATGTGGCCAAGACAGAACCAGTCAGCATTCTACAACCTCAGACCACCGTTAATCCTGACCGCATCAAACAAGTGAGTGTTCAGTTGGGAAATCAGAGAGGAATACCCACAGTGCAGTATGAATTCCTTTCAGAGGAAGCAGTTTAGTAGTAGCAGAAAAAGGCTTAAATTTATCTAAAGTTGTCATTTAGTTTTTGAAGAATTTCAGATCCTTTGATTGGCAAATCAAACTATCCATTAATTGAATTATAAATTTATTAGTGATAGACAAAGAGGCACTGATGTGACTCTTTATGATTGCTTTTTACAAATATGGAAGCAGGGATTTTATAATTTATGGAACTCTATTCTGTTTAAAATATAACACTTCTTAAATAAATTATAAGAAATCAAAATGAAATTTATATCTTCAGCATTTCCAAAGCCCAACTTTAGTGGCATTTGTAGTTCTCAGTATAGGTATTGCATATAGACTCCTGTTTTGCTAATTTGTCTTGTTTAACATTTTATCAACACATATGTATAAGTCAATTTGTACAGCAAGTCTTCAGTCCTTTGTTATCAGTCAGCTATTACATTTTGTGTCACATGTGTAGTGCTAATATATCTGTTAAACAGGCCCAATGTCACATTTTAATGTATGGAATTTTCTGTAAAGAAAATTTTTCATGACAAAAAATAATGTGAATTTTTAAGACTCAGTAATGCTTGAGATGATGTAGGGAAATGACGTTGCTTGATGTTAAATAAGGTGGATTCTTTTACCATAAATATTTTATGTTCATAATTATTGTCTACTTTGGCCTTTTATTTAGCCACTCAATTTGTGACTTATTTTATTATCAACAGATTGTGATTTTAGAATAAATGTATTATTTATAAATTAACAGAAAATTTATTTTCATTGTAATAAATTTGAAATGTAGTTCAAAGTTCTATTAATTTCATGTTTCTGAATTGAAAATATATTAACCAGTGCCATGAATCTATCATAATCTTATTAATATATAAATATAATACTAATCATATATCAACTTTAAATTTATAATTAGTTAATATATACTCAAAACATAGACTAATATTCAATTATCTATTAATAGTATATTTCTAAAAAACACTTCCTTGTTTAAACCATGAGAAAGTAGCTCTTACTCCATATAAAGATCACTTACAGAATTTTCCATCAGTGTTGAATAGTTGTTATTCCCGAACTATAAGGGAGTGTATCTCTATAGACATGTAACAACATCTACATACCTTAAAACTATACATACTAGAATTTTTTTATTCACAATCGTTTAGTGGTATGAAGTGCTTGTTTCATCCGTGCTATGTAAATATAAAATAGTCCAAATACTGTTAACTTGACAGTGATACAGGGACTTCATCAGATTGGAAAACAAGATGTCTAGATGGCAGACATCCAGGTTAAAATCATGTGGGGCTAGAAATGTCCTGAATGAGCACTGAAGTATCTGGTCTCTTTACATTTTGCCTTAATTCAGCCCATACTTCTCCCTTTTCTCCTGTAACTTCTATGAAAACATTCAAACACTCAGGTGGCCACTTTGATATTTCTTTTTAAATAGACATAAAATTATACCTTGAATAGTATAAAACTCTATCCAAAACAATAATGTGAGATTTATTTTAACATTTATTTAGCAACAAATACTGAGTACCATCACATAGTAGTCTGAATCATTATTAAAGTTTCAGTTTTACTATGGCTATATGAGATTGACAGGCTGTCATGTATGCAGGACCAGTGTAGACTGATGACTACCACCAGAATTTTAAAGCATTTGGTTGAGTTTTGTTTGCCTTGTTCAACTGTTAATTATATTTAAGATAAGTTTTAAGTGTTAATATTGATTTATCCAGTTTTTTATGCTTACATTCATTTATATGTCTTGATATTCAGAGAATTAAAAAATTAAGGTTAAACTCTACATTTTCATGTAATCAGCAATGTGGATAACAGTAAATCATTACAAGGGTACAGGAGACGAGCACTCAGGATGCTGAGGCAGCATATTTAACAAACATTATCTGAACAATGTAGAAACTATGCCAAGTTTCTTAATATTTGCAGGAGAAACGTGGTTTTGACCTACAGAGATGCATCTTCTTATGCTCGACATTGCAGTATTGCAGTTCTTTAACTTTTTACATATCTAGTTTGCCAATTTAATGTTTCTTACCAATGACCAAAGTAGTTGTCAAGTATTTAAATTTCAAGGCTATGATTTCTCAAGAAATGATGCCACTTACACACTGTAAAATAAGTATTTGTAAAATAAGTTCTTTTGTCATAGAATAGATAAACGTGGCTTTCTTGATGTTTAAAAGTTTACATTTTAATCCACAGAATCTGAAGATGTCTTCCTGAGACCTTGCTCAGAACAAGTGATCCAACATTTGTTTTTGCTGTAGGATTCAGTTCCCAAAATAATTTCTTTTCAAATATTAATTATGAATATTCCTCTATGAAAGGTTACTTACAGAATAAAATTGGAGTTAAGAAAATGCTAGAGCTCAATATCTACCTTACAGAATAAAATTGGAGTTAAGAAAATACTGGAGCTAAATATCTATCTTTTCCATATAAACAGATTAAAGTGAAAAATGAAATTATGAATTTTGCTTAGTGTTTCCATTATTACCCTGGTTGGTTGTTTGGGGTTAACAATTTTAAACTTTTTTTATTTTTAAAATTTTAAGATACAATTTATACTTAAAATCAGAAGTCAAATTTAGTTTTCAGAAAGTCAGATTTTAAAAGTACTGACTCTCATTATCTGTTATGTTTTCTTATAAATTATGTCCTGCATTGTGTTCTAAGATACAGTTTACCAACTAAGTACATTTTATGAGCTCATTATAATACTCTATTCAAATGTACCTATCCTTTTTGGCTAGTGGCATCAGACAAGTGTAGTTTCTCATGTCCTGCATGCTCATTTCAAAAGGCCCCCTGCAGGACAGTGATGAACTCTACTTCAATGCCTGAAATCCAACTTCAGCTAATAGATGTAGGTAATTCAGTTCTTAATTCTGGACCCTTTTTAAAGCCAAGCTGTGCAAGGAAAAATGAAGGTAGGGGAACTTAAAGAATTTTCTTATATTTAAAAATACCAAGAATTTTTTTTAAGTCTGACCAGAACTTTACTTTTTTGATAAATTTGCAAAAATAACATTCATCAATTTTTGAACATCATTTATTCAAACATAAATTTATTAAAATACTTTAATGGTAAAATATAGGAAATTAGAGCCCTTGCACTTCATACTAGTTTGTTTTGTGATATTTCTTAACCTATGAAAGCATATTTATATTCCAGAGGTGCAGTATTAACAGTGTGTAGCATAGACCTCAGAAGATTCTAGTTAGGAAAGGAAAATGGAGAAACGTTCACTTTAGAAGGGTGAGCTATGATGCAATTGAAGAGTGTCACAGCCCTTGAATAGTAGCAGGACTGGCTGATTTGGAATATCTGCGCTAATGTTTAGTGAAAATTATTGTTAGTTAAGTAGGGTGGGGATAGATAAGCAAGACCTTGTGTGTTTGGCAGAAAGATATTATAGACGACAAGCTCATTCCTCATTTTCTGAAAGAGTTCCTTTAATTCATCTTAAAGATTATTAAAAAGTGAAGGCATCTTTTCATTTTACTTTTCTTTGTGCATAAAACAAACCAGATTTTGAAGGTTTATCCAGACATTGTTATTGGTGGGAAAATAAATATGAATGGACCAATAGACTAATGTTAATGTTGTAAGACAGACAGAGTGTTCATCAAAAATGACAAGCTAATGGGACAGTTGCTATTTAAATATTTTGTTCTTAAAGACTAGTATACAGGGATTATTTAATAGAACACTACAAAGCTTGGGGAGGTGGCTATGGAATAATGTTATTGACTGCTTGGCAGATGAGCATGAAGAGAACAGCTAAGACCTGCTGTTCCTGCTTTCCTTGTAAATATTAGTTGTTCTTAACAACTGATTGTTACAGATTTGTTTGAAGAAAAGCTGCATTTATTCTAGAGTTTGTTTGTGGTAATCGTCTCTGGACCAACAAAACTCATATTTTAACATGAGTTCATCATATAATTTGTTAAAACTTTTTAGCTCTTAATTTCTCAAAACTTAGTTATATCAGTAGTTTACTAAGTGTGTAGTATTAAAAATCTTGATATTTTTAAAATGACTGTATATTTCAAAAAGCACGCTGTTTTAGGCAGAAGCACATAAATCTCTTTGAGTTCAAGGCCAGCATGGTATACATACTAAGTTCTAGGCCAGCCAAGGCTATATAATGAGACCCTGTCTCAAAAAAGAATCATGTTTCTATAAAATAATTCACCCTATAGTATCTATAGAAAAAGTGGGGCTCAAGTTACTGGGTCCTTCCTGATCACTACTTGAAATGGATTAGAAATAGATTAGAAAAATGTGTGTTTTATGGATGCTATACATTAAATATTTATCCACATATTGATGTTACATGGATATTCAATTAATTACATATTCATGATGTATGTTATTGAGTAGCATTTCATAGTCACTATGTTAATAGCTACATTGAAATTTGATATAAATATTTTACTTATAAAATAGTAAAGAAAAATCATTGAACATTTATATTTTATTTTAAAACACTTTACATGGATTTGTTATCCATATCTGTGGACTTTAGAACAATTTTCTCAATTATTCCATTGACCTGATTAATAGGAAGCTTTAAATTAAAGGCATTGTTTTAATACATTCATATTTATCTGCTTATTTGGGGCAATTTTCCTTCTAGAATTTGAAAAAGCAACTGAAATGAAAACTGCTTAGAATATAATTACTATTGCTAATTCTAAAGTGAGGATTCACTTGTGCATCAAAGGACCTGTATGAGTGGTAGCTGGGAAAATGGTTCCAACTTTCTGCCGTTACTGCATAGACATCTCACCCTAGAGAAGACGCTAACTCTTTGCTGTGACGTTGCAATCCGTTCACCCTCCAAAGTGCACACGAGTAATTCTCACCTGTGTGAAATATTAAAATGTAGCTTCTTATCTAATCATCAAGCTTCATGATAAAACCTTAAGTTATTTAAAGCACATTAATATAATTCACAAGTTTAAATTACTTATTTTATTCATAGAAGAAAGGGAGAGCAACCAAATTAGTAAGGAGAATTTTGATGAATATGAGTTGTATCAATTATTAATAGATATTCAGAATATATGAAAATCATAAAAAATAGCAATAAAATTTTGACAGATCATCTGAATCTAAGTTATTACAGGTTCTGAGCCACATCATGTTACCACTTTTTACATTTTGCACTATTTAAGCTCCTCACTGAGGATTTGTATCTGGAACAAGATGATATTGTCCAGTACTTCAGATTGACTGTATTCTGATGAGCATGGACATGTAGAATCTGGGTTTGGTATGACATGAACTTCTATTGGAAGAAAGGGACCCTAAATTTGACATCTGTCTAGTCATAAACTTGGACTGAGTGTTGAACTTAGTGCAGAACAGATGTTTAGATGTGTGTGACTCCTCCAGTAATTCCATGTCATTAAGCTAGGTTGAGAAAATGAAGCCTGTAATGTTGAATTCATACAACCTGTGGTAGTGTGACATTATTAACAGTGCCTCAGTATATCATTGTACAGAAAAAAATACATGTTAAAGTGACCTTTACTGATGGAAAATAATGTTTCCCTAGAAAATTGACAAGAATTAATTACAAAGTGCCTAAATAGAAAATAAAAGATTAGAAATTTTGAAAGCCTTTAGAAGGCTCTACCCCTGACTTAGTACCATTTTCTATTCTTTGTGTGCCTCAAAATAAAAATCCTTAGCTTGATACCACACTAGGTCAACTACTTCTCCAATTGTTTTAGGTCTTAAGAAAGAAAATATTCTAAGGAAAAGACTTGATGAAACATAGCCTAACGGTGCAAGTAGCCTTACTGTGTTATTGGAAGTCAGTGAGTTGACACGGAGCCTTCAGATTTATCATCACTTTTATTCTTAACTGCTTTGTCTAAATCAGAAGTACTGATACCTTAAATACAGGTCTGTGACCACAAACACTTCTATTTACTTTTCCTAAAACTTTCAAACCTCCAAGGCTAGGTCTTTGTTCATATCTCAGTAGATCTGATGGACATGTGACAAAGTAATAATACATAATACCCATTATATAGGCTTGTCTAAGCTATAGAAAACTATCCCATTTGCCTTTTAAGAAATAAGCCCTTTAAAGGCCTCTGCCTAGCCATGATATATGGTTAAGTGCAATATGACCCTTAAACAAAGCTCTGAAGCCCTTAAACTTTAAGGCTGCCTTGTCAGTTGTTAAAGGCTTCTGAAAACTCTGGGTGAATGACTCTGGGAACATGGATGGTTTGCTGTGACACATCTCTGTAGCATATGTGTGTGCTTCTAAATACACAGAAAATTTAGTTCATAGTGTCTTGTGATTTTTGAACATAGGATGACAATGCTGCAATATATTATACTCTTTTTCTTCTTTAAATGTACCATTTAGCATAAATGATAAAAATGATAATTTTTAGAATGCTACTAGTTACATGTTTATTAATATGAGGTTAATGTTTACATTTTCAGATGGCTCTAAGTTTATTAAAATTAATATTTTAGAAGATAATGTGATATTAAGAACTCAGAACTGCAAATTAAATTGCTTTTATGTATGGATCCCTAAATTCATGTGGAATCAGCTTGTTGGTGATGTTCAACATATTAAGTAGGTGGATACTTTTATGCCAAAGTAAACTTCATTTCACCGCTTCTTCAAATCTCCAACTGTATCCATTGATAGGAAAATGACTCTTCCAATTTTGTTCATCTAACTTCTTGAGTTTTCTTTGACATCTCTTTTCCCCCAAGCAAATTAGAGGGAAAGAAATGGGACTGCTATCATGCATATGGGCAGGATGCCCTTAGCACTCCTGTGAGTTTCTCTCCGTCACCATCATGAGTTCAAGTCATGAATTTATTTTTACATGCTTATGCATGCATACTTACATGTATGAGTTACTCAGTTGATCTTAAATTCCATTAAATTTGATTGCCTAGGAGGAAACTTTATTCATAGGATTTTGTTCTCGTTATATTACATTTTATTTCGTTTTGTTTTGTTTAATGATCAGCTTAAGGCTCATAAAGGTTGATTTGCTCCTGAACTGCTTTGTTCCCAGACATTGCCATCTTCCCCAACTACCACCAAGTCCTCTCCATCTGACCCCATGACCACCTCCAGAGCTAATCAGGTACAGTATCATCCTCTCATCTACACCATACTTTCACAGCGATTGCCTGCCAACCGGAGAAAAAGAGAATGGTGGGTTAAGGATTTGTTCGTTCATTCACATGTATGCACCATGATCAGATTCCAAATAATCTAACCAATAAATATCAATCATTTTTTAATTTTACATGCATTTTAACTTCATTAACAAATATATTCAGGCAGTAGGCTTAATTAGAATTTTGGACTTATTCCTTTAAGATATCATCATTTTACAAAGCCCTGAGGATTAATTATTGAGTTGGTCTTTTCTTGCCTTTCAATGTATCTTCTTAGGAGTTTTCATAAATAATTTAAGTACGTTCACATAGTTATAAAATATATGAAAATTTAGAAAAGATATGTCTTTAAAGGTTAATATTCTTTTACTTTTTGAAACGAGCTTCTCTGTGTAAACAGTATCAACAATAAGCATTTCTAGTTTGAAAATTGGTGTAATTTTAGCATTGTTTAATAATTGCAGACACAGTATATTTTCTTAGTCAAGAACTCTTAATCATTTTTATTGAAAGAGTGTCAAACTTTGTAGTGAGAATTATATCTTACTAGTTCCGATTTGACAGCTTTTGAAACTAAATATTTGCAGGCCAGCCTTCAAACTTGTATTTGTTGACTAAAATAATTATTCAAATGTTTAAACACATTTTCATTTTATGTGAGTTGAGTTCTATTTAAATGAGAAGTACTTCCTTTATTATTTCCACTTTTTACTTTTAGTAAAAATAAGGCTTCATGAGATTACTTAAATATTAACAGCTTATATTTTAAAATATTTTTCATTAATTGGCCAACAAAGTATTGCTACATGTGTGGTTTGTGGCATTTTTCATGTTATTTAATTTAAAGCCATCAGCATAATTTTGCTCATTGACTGATTCTAGTAATTTTTGCAACCTCATGGAAAGTAAAATGACTTAAGGAAATCTAAGCAGTCTTAGGATATTGGTCTACAGTAGGAGCTTGGTTTTCTTTTTATGAAATGAAACTTCCTTCAAGCACAAGAATTTCACAATGCTCCTCTCATTTTGGCCCTGAACCAGTGAGGGCACATCCAGAATGATGCAGCCATCACTTTTCTCTGAAGAATGTGGTAGTGTGGAGGTGAGAAGAATGCATTTTCAAGGCTCGCTTCCTGCTTCTGTTCCCCCATGCTTTAATTCTGTGGCATAGAAACTCACCAAGGATAGGACTGCCCGTGGTTTTAAATGTCTCCTATGCTCTGTTAGTGTTTGATTTCTCAGCTGGACAGATAAGTACATCATAAACAAGACCAATGATTTTCTCAAAGCAAGATGCTAACTAGAAAGCCAATCTGCTAATTTTTGTCTCTGAAATTAGATTTGTAGTTTACTTATATGAATGTGGATTTTTATAAAATAAAAGGCCAACTATATCTACTTCCTCATTAATGCTATATTTTACCCTCTAGATATATTATCACACTTTCTTCTGCCAAATCTTCTATTGTAATGATTTGAAATATAGGCGCTATGATTTAATATTCTATCTACTGTGCTGATACATTTTGTTATTCATACTGCTTTCTTTGTTTTGGGGGGTTTTTGTTTTTGTTTGTCTACAAAGAAGCATGTAACTCCTGGATCACATGAAGCAAATGTTAAAAGAAGAACAGCAAAATCCTTATTTATTGAAAGAACTCTAGCTTTTCAATAACATTTCATTCTTAGTGATCTGTAGCTCTCCCTTGTACTCCTTCATGGTAGGTTCTTTCCAGATAGCTGTAGCAAAGAAATGTCGTTTTTGTTCACTCACACTTGAAATGTACAGCACCTAATCCTTTCTTAATTAATTTACTGATTTATTTCTTTAAATATAGTCTGGTTAGGAAAATATGATTCTGTGTAATAATCTTAAACTTTACAGAAGTAAAATATTATATAGTGAGACAGATATATATACTAATTTAAAGGTAGTTTATATTTATTTACCCAGCTATTATCAAATATGTTTTTAATCTTATAACTGATAGAAATGGAGAAAATCAGTGATTTCTATTTTAGATCAGAAATTACTGCCATGTGTTATAGCTTGTATGATAACCCTGCTATAAAAGCAGAGGTGAGGAAATCTTTTCCTAAGAAAATTGCTATAAGCAAAAGATTACAGTCAAATAATTAACATTTGTGTTGTTTTCTAATCAATATTGGCCAAATGAATGTTCATCAAGTTCTCATTTGAGATTAATAGTTTGTGTTACTTATGGATGTATAGAAAAGAACTAACAAATTAAAAATTTGTAGAAAACCTAGGAATGAAAACCGTGGCAGTAATTCAGAGAATATGCTTGCTCTGCAGAGCCATCATTCCAAAACTTTTTATTCTGAAGATTATTGTGTTTAGCACTTGAATTTTATCTATTTTACTCTTCAGCCTCCTTAACATGTTTCCTTGAGTCACATTCTGAGCACACTAGTGCTCAATAGTAACTCCACTTGAAAACAGAAGACCCACTGTGCGAGAATCCTTATAAAGTGATAGTAGGAAGCGAACACTAGAGAGGTGGTGAGGACCTTGTCTTGCCCTTTACCAGCTGAGTAATCCCATGTGAAACTCAAATACTAGAGTTTCCTAAGGCAGACTATGAAAATCCCCAGCTCTTCTCACAGTGGTTCAGTGTCTAGCTGTGTTCATTTTAAGGAAATGTGAAAAATATTAGTCCTTAAAAGTAAATTACTTGGTAAATAGTTATTTTAAATGCTTCAGTTAACAACAATATAATACTAGTATTGTCTGTTTCTAAGGTATTTCTGTGGTCAAATTCACTGCCCTTAACTTAATTCCATAATCAGCATCTAGAGAGCATGCAGTTGCTCTTGCTTAGTAGTGAAATGCCACAGTTAAACTATCAGAGGTGTCAACAGGATCAGTAGCATTTATCAATCCCAAGATGCTTATTTTACTCATCATCTCATCATAATTTTATGTCATCTCATCATAATTTTATAAGTCAATCAGCGATGCCCAGGTATCAGGAAGGGGCATAGATAACAGGTGCAGGCCTTCTCTGCCATCATTCTTGCTACTTTTCCTTTCCTAACCCATAACCTTACACATACTTCACTGAAATTGATGCCATCCAAAGAGATCTTCCATAAACTGATGCCGACAATACTTACTAGACCAACACTCCACACCCACGCCTTTTGCCTTTTCAGTTATCTCCACAGGAATATCTTTCTGCTCCTACCAAAGTCAGTTAGTTCAATTGTACAATAAGTATACCCTTTCCCTATTACTGAATGGTATCTTTTCTTAAACTGTATACTTCATCAAGTTTTGACTCAATAGAAATATTCCAGTCTGCATGCAGTGTTTTCTCCTGTCTTTTTTTTTTAATTTTGATCCTCTCATACATGTATGCAACATATCGTGAACATACTCACCTTGGGCTTTCCCCTCTCTCCTCCCCTCCCACTCCTGTCTCCCATTTTAAAACGCTGACCCACCTTCTCTTGTTGTCACCTCTTTCACCCACACACTAATGCCTCTTCTAGTCCTTCACAGCAAAATTCACAGGATTGTCTCCAGTCTCTTTCCCAGGTTCTTTCTGTCCCTAAATCTACTCCAGTCATGCTCTGACCTCCACCGTTCCTCCAAATCTGCAGTGAGCATCAATGGTGGCCACACCGCTGATTGTGTTTGTTCTCAGTCTCCATGTTCACTGGCCTGTCAACAGTGTGTTCCCCATTCTGTTACATCACCTTCTGTGCTGTGCTTCCTGTCGTTAGTGTCCAGGATTCTACACCACCGTGGTGATCCTGCTCCTGGTCTCTTCCTGGTTCCCCCTCTTGGCCCCATCTCACTGATGGAATGTCCTAGTCTTAGGAGCATCGTATGTCTTGCCTTTTCCATGCTGTTATATACAGAATGCATACCTCAGGATTTTGTGCTGCTTTCAAACCTTAAATGTTACCATACAAAGACCATTTCTCACAGATGCAGAGGCAGGAAAATCCACGATCAAGATGCCAGCATCTAATGAGAGCTTTCTTGCAGCATATTCACCTGGCAGAAGGTGGAGGGCCAGAGAAAGGGACCAGGGCAATGCCTTCCCATGACAGAAGAGAGAAGCCATTCCTGAAAATGTGTAATATAGCAAGTAGTAACCCTAGCCTCCCAACACTGTTTCATTGGGATAAATTACTGCCTATGAATTGTGGAGAAGACAAAGCTCTCTCTCAAACTGCAGTAACCATGAACTAACAGAATCTTTATGAAGGCTCTTATAAGCTCCTTACTATATTTTAATGTTCATGGTTTAAATTGATAATTTCCCAAAATATTTCCTAAAATTTAAGTTTCAGGTCCTAAGTACTTGAACTCCCCGGACTGCCTGCAGCTGCTTGCTTCATGTTGCCGCTTACACATCTAACTGCTCGCTTAAGTACAGCAGTTCCAAGGAGCACCCTAAACCTTCTCCTTTCAAAGCCTGTATTCTCTTGCCTGCATCTGAATGTTTTAAACCAGTTTACATGGTAAAAGCCAATATACCTAAACGTACATCGGCACTTTTGGGATCTGCCTCTGCGCACACTGCTTTTTGTATCTGATCAGTTCACTGCCTCTCACTCACTCTGGGCATTTACACCACACAATTGCTGCTCGTTTCAGACACTGTAGATTCTTCCTCAGTGCTCTGCTCTTGCTTTTTCTGCACATGAAATTTTAATCTCGGAGATCCGTTTGGTAAAACCTTTGTAATCCTTCAAGACTATTCCAAATCTGCCTACTCCTGAAGGCCACTCGACTGCCTTGTTTAGTACCTGTTGGGCCTGTCTCTCACCCCAACACTCCTCGTTGCTTTTTTCATGCTGTTCTTTGTTCTGCTGTCTTGGGAGTACTGTGCACTTTCTTACTAATACATTTGTTGTATACTGTGTGCCCCATCACTCCTTTAGACTGTTACATTTTATGACAATAGACATTTTCTCCATTTTACAAACTCTCTGGTGTATGAAATAGAACCTGGAGCACAGTAGGTTGTGAAAAAGTACATGTCAAGTGACTAGCATTAGAGCAGTTTTATAGAATCCTTCAAATGAAACTTGGCCCAGGAATTGTTTATAGTAGTGTAAACCAAATAGAAGAAAGTGATTTATTGAATAAAGAGGTTAACCTTAAAGAATATAGTCTTTGCTACCTTTCCTTCTATTCATCGGCATTATCTCTCACATATGAAGTGTTTGTCATTTCGTATGGAAAAAATAAAAAATAATCCAATAGAAAAATGAGTGAAGCTCAGGAAAGGTAATTTACAGATAAAGGAATAGAAATGGCTGGTAAAAACATGTTCAGTTTCACCAGCATCAGGATGGGTAGCAGTGTCTGTCACAAGGTTAAGCTGTTCCCCAGATAGACAGAATTTTATGTAAGTGTATATGATACACATGTATCCAATTGAGAAACAATGTGTGTATTTGGAAGTCACATTTTGGTAAATGTATAGAACTGAGCGTTTGCACACGTGTTGGTAAAGGAAGCACTGTGACACACCTCTTAAGAACCTCAAGAACCTAAGGATTGTTCTGAGGCATCGATAGATAGATGCATGAGTGTTTTACATTAGCATTGTTTACATTAGCAAAAGTAGGAAAGCAACTTGATCCTTATAGGTCAGTTCTTGAAGGATTTCTAGTATTGCAGAGTGTTATTTGGGGAATCTATAAAGTAATGGAAAAGATCCATGTAAACAGCTTTATAATAGCTTTTTTCTATGAACTAGAGAAAAGTACATTCCTAAAATATATGCCTATCTTAATGGTCACAAAATATCTGCCATGTTTTGTGTTTGAATGCATTAAGGTGATGACAGAAGTATGAAAATTACTGGCTTTTATTACAATGTCTTCCCTCCTAAAAGTTAGCTAAAAATGACAACGGGATGAAAATTCAGATATCAGTTGTGATACATATGATGTGTTAAATAGAAATAAGTAGTCTCTCAAGGGAAAGATTTGATGTCATATGTGCCTCTGAGCTGCAAAATGCCCTGAATTATACGTCTTGGAATGTGCTAGTGAATGTCAGATAGGATCCCTGGGGAGAGAGCTCTGTCCCAGAGGGGTGCTCATTTACTATAAGAGAATGACCATTTTTTTCATGTTTTAAAATTATACCAAATTAATTATTATATAATAAATGTAATTTTTATCTTTCATGATTATCACATCAAAAGTTCTTGAGCCCAGCTTCTTATCAAAGCTACTTGTGAAGTTTCTAATATAATAGCTCCTAGGGGGGCAAGGTAAAACATTTATATTTTAACAGTTGATATCTACAAAAGTTTTAGTGTAGGTATTAGTTTAGGATTGAGAAGATTTTCTAATTAATATGATTTAAGGTACAAAGTTATATTGTTCAAAAGGTGTTTTCCTGTCTGAGGTTGCATTAGTAGACTTTCCTATTGTCGGATATGGTTAGATATCTTTCCCTGGAGATCTTTCCATGCAAATTATAATCATTCTTTTAAAGATTTTGTTCTATTATTGCCAAAAATTGTGGAACCAGATTAAGTAGATGATTTCTCCTCATGTTTCCTTCATTTCCAGTATCTCCACTGTTATTGTAGATATGAGGTGTATGCACCCTCCCACATACACAAACACACACATTCATGTTCATAATATGGCTTCACAGTGGTTAATTTACTGCTCCAATACCTTTGATGATTTTTAAGTCACACGTTTTCCACCTTAATACTTAATTACCATTATTTAGTCAGTCTTTGCATTTGCCCTATCTGGATGACACTGTGTATTGTCTTTGCATTTGCCCTATCTGGATGACACTGTGTAGTTCTACAATGCAAAGTACTCTTTCTCTTTAATTCCTGAAGTTTTTCTAATCTCCACAGCCATCGCCATTCATCTGCTTGACATTTTCACTTCAGTGTCCAATAGCTATTTCAAGTGAAAATGTCCAGAATATCTTCCTTTCTGGCCGCATGCCTCATCCTTTCTCCCCATCATCTGCATCATTAAACACACTCTCTGACTTTGTGCATAGATCTCTTCATGTTTCACTTTGTTTGTTTGTTTGTTGGTTTGGTTTGGTTTGGTTTTTCGAGACAGGTTTTCTCTCTGTAGCCCTGGCTATCCTGGAACTCTCTCTATAGACCAGTCTGACCTTGAACTCACAGAGCTCTGCCTGTCTTGGCCTTCAGAGTGCTGAGATTAAAGGCATGAGCCACTACCACCCAACTTCCATTTTTTTACTGTTTAAGTTGAATATTGAATTAAGTGAGAGCCCTAATTTGCATATCAAAAAATCTAAATTTTTCAGATACACTTTTTTACTAACCAGGATTAAAAATTGTTTTAGTACATATGTACCAAAATGGATGTGATGAGACTTTAATAATATCAGTAGGCTTTTTTTTATTTAACCTGTGAATAATTGTAAGTTGCCCTTCTTCTATAAACAGAACTTCAGTTCAGTAAAATCAGATTTTTTTAAAGCCACCAGATTACCCTAAGTTATTCTTATTTTTAAAATAGATTTCTTGGCCATATTGTATCATTTTACAACTTCTCTGGTTCCCTGCAGTTGACTCTAACAGCTTTCCTTTGTGTGTAACTGTCTACAGTGCTTGTCATCTCCGAGTAACAGTAGTAGTTTGAAGTGCTTCTCTGCTAGAAAGCATGGACTGTTTCCCTTTCCTCCTTCCACCCGACCTCCTAAGCGGTGATGCAATGTGACCTTAAAATATACATCATTCACAAAACAGAAGGATGCTTCAGAAGCAAAGCAAAATAGTGTTAAGTCAAATAATAAGCATATTAACTTCTTTTCCTTGCTTTTAGAAATTTTGTGGAGACTACTGTTCATTTTCTGTCTCCTTCCAGAGACACACAAAAGGAGGTCCACTGTCTCCCTCACACTATCTTAGCTTGTAGAAAGAAGGGAGAATGAAGTGTGGAAAAGAAACGGAATGAGGTACTACCTCTGTAGTACTTCTAGAGATACCTACTCATATGTATCAGGTATAGTTTGAGTTTAAAATGCAAAGCTTGAAGCAAAAGAGAAAGGCATTCATGTACAAGTACTCCTTGAGTGAGTCGGCAGATGCCCATATTGAGCCATGTTATTAACTGGCCCCTCTTACCACTTAATCAAATAACACTTGGTCCTAGACCTCTGAAGTTAATCTGACTACATTTTCATGGCTGAACTGGGCTAACCACTAGCTTCAGAACCTATGATACTATAAAACATGGTGGAAAATAATACTTTAATAAATGAACATGTAGGAATAAGGCAGATGTTACATATTTAATTGTCAGTGTGACAGTGTTGGATTTATAAGTGACTAAGAACCTGTTAGTGTTGGTTTCAAAGATTTTCTGATGAGATTAAAATGTCACTGTCCTTAACGTTGGAATACTTCAGTATATGCATGATGTAGATTGAAATTTTAGAATTTGAGAATGATAAACCTTTCTCTTGATTTGAGAAACCAAAGTCAGGTACTAGAGATACACAGTTAAGAGTACTTACTGCTTTCGCAAAGGACCTGGGTTCAGTTCCCAGCACCCTACAGAAGCCTTAAAATTGCAACTCCAGCTCCAGGAGATATGATGCCCTTTTCTGACGTCAGGAGTCACCACATGTGCATGGTACAATTACAGACATGCAAGCAAAATACACATATAAAATAAACTGATCTTTTTTTTAATTAAAAAATAATACACCCAATGTTGGGTGTTTTTTACATATACCCGCAATGTCTGTGTCTGTGGTAAATCATCTTTTAAATAATTGTATTCCTGTAGATCTTGTTTTATTTCTCTGATGATTACCCATGTGTAACTTAACCAGGTACAAATAGAAACAGTAGAGTCAGATAAGATGGTGGCCTACAGGAAGATGCCTTTTTGCTTAGGAGAAATAACATAATAAGAAATGTAGGAATAATGACACTATGAGGTATGAGGTTTGATTATTTTTATAGGTACAGCTAAACTGCTTGTGTGATACACTATACTTCAGCAGGTGAAAACGCACACATTGACGGAAAAGTCAGCGTAAAGAAAGAGAAAAGCTGTATGTCATCAGGAAGACATGGAAGATTCAAGGCAAAGACAGAGAAACCTAAGTTTAGACTGTACTTAGGAACTCACAGCTAAAATGTGGACTGAGTGAGGGATTCACAGATGATGATACCAAGACAGGAGACACTAGAGACGAAACTGGCAAGACAAGATGAGGCACAGTCGAGAGAAGTTCACAGACTGCATGGGAACCCAGGGAGTGCAGGGCAGGTTCTTATTAGGAAGAGTTACTGGAGGAATCTATAAATGTTTCTCAGATTGTCTTGTGTGATAAAACTTAAGGTTTGTTCTACTTCATCTTTATAATTGAATAAGGTAGAATTAAGGTTAGGATTATAATTCTTTAAAGACAAATAATTTTCAGGAAAAAAGTTTACTAAGATTAATAACTGTTAAAAAGTTCTTCTAATATCATCCATAAAATAAAATTAACTTAGTTGGCAACTTTATTTGCCATCCTTAAAAAGTGGTTATATATTGGGGTTATTTAGATTTCAATAATCAAATTATTTTTATTAAAGGATTAAATAAATTAGAATAAGACAATATTTCTTAAGTGCAAAGGAAATCAAAAGCATGTGTAAGATGTATAAACACACTCATATGTGTCCACTATCGAACGTGGATTTATATGTTCACTTCCTGCTGCCTTCAAGAGCAGAATGACATGACCTCACAGACACTTTTTAAAATGTCCCTAGCAGATCTGTGTACTGAAGGAAGCATTGTTGATTCTTGCTAAAATTAGCTAATGAAGTTCAGAAAATCTCAGCTACAGAAACTAAACTTCCACTCCGATTTTGAAGGTGATTTAGCTCATTCTAACCTCAGCCCTACACGGAGAACAACGAAGTTACTTCAGTGCCCTGTCAGTGACTGCAGTCTGGTTTGAGGTGCCCAGGGAGGGCACATAGATAGAGATGTGGTTGTCAACAAATCCAAGCTCAAGGTTAATATCTCACTTTTTAATTTTAAGGTTTATGTACATGTCACACTTGTATACTTGTGCAGCACCATTTTATTGTGATGAAGTACGTCCGGGTGTGCTGATTCTTGTGGCTACACCCTCAGTATAAATTAACAAAATGGCCACATTGGACTATTGTAAACACCCAGTGACTACAGTAATTTCTCCTCACCAATTGGTGATAGGGTAACAAGCACTACTTCTAAATAGAGCTGTGTCTTCCAGAACAGCAAATCTCACCATCAGAATGCCCAGATGATGTAACTTTAAAATAATAGAAACATTTTAAAAGATTATTACTGACTTGGTGGCCATTTTATAAAGTTAAATGACTATGTGTCCGATTGAAAAAATAAAATACTATTAAGAATTTTATTGATCTTCACCTCTAAATATAGCCATAAAACAAATAAGATATTTGTGAGTAACCCCAAAACTACTAGGTATTAAGGAACATGAAATTAATGTTTTGAAAAATTTAAGTGGGTATTTTCTACTGCTGTCTTTGTTAACTTTGCTTTCATAATTCTATTCTACCTGTTCATATTTCTCAGAGCAGAGAGTTTCTTTAAGCTACACCGGATGAAGAGCTAGTAGCCGCATTATCATTTTTGGGCTTTATGAAAACATTACCATTGCTGTATAGTTATTAGTCCCTCTGTTTTGACATGCTGATTTCTCATAGACTGTATTGCAAAATATAGACATTCAAGGAACTTTTTGTTTAACAATTTTGACTTGAAGATTGCTTTTTCCTTTGAAAATTCTCATTGTACAAGGTAGTTTTATTAAAATATGATAAAAGTCACTTTAAAGTTGTGGTATTTCCATCTTAATAAATTATGTTTAAACTAA